CCCCACGTCTCTTTTTCTCTTTCTTCATCTGTCTTTCTCCAGCTGTTTCTCGCTCTCTTCGTCTGTCTGTGTTTGTGTCTCTATCTTTCTATGGGGTACCAGTAATTCAAAATAAAGCATTCGAACAGAGCATTGCACTTTATGAGCCAGCAGTGACGTGTTCGCACAGTCTGCATCCTGGCACTGTATATAGGATAATATAGATAGCGAGCTGTTGCTGGAAGTTGTGAAATTGCAAGTCATGTGTGTGCGGTGTATCTGCAAGTATAATGCAAGTAATAGGACTGTCAGTGAAAGCTATTTTGATGATTAAGCTGCAGGAAGCCTTGTTAGTGACTTTTTCCTGGGCATTATTATTGTCTCATACATGTGTGCGTGTATGTGTGTATGTGTGTGTGTGTGTATGTATGTGTGTGTGTGTGTGTGTGTGTGTGTGTGTGTGTGTGTGTGTGTGTGTGTGTATGTGTGCGCGCCCGTTCATCTCTAGATTGAAAATATTTAACTTGACAATTGCTCTTTTAACTTGTTTATATAGACATTCGTTGATGATTAACAAGTAACAGAAACTATTCTAGGGGAAAAAATCCATATTATAATAGTTAATATTTTGGCAATTGCTTTTTGAAGTTGATCATTTCGACATTCGTTGATAATATAAGATACATCTTTATTGTCCAGATCCTGGCACATTGGTTTGGTGTTTCACCACGTGCACATACACACACACACACACACACACACACACACACACACACACACACACACACACACACACTCGCGCGCGCGCGCACACACATGCACACACGTAGGTTTACAATCACATGCCTAATATAAATGAGCAGCAATATAAACAATAATAATCGTAAGCTAGATACACACTCAATGTTATTTTGATGATTAGTTAATTTAAAAGAAACTCTACTCTCAGGGGAAAAAAGAAAAAAAATCTTGCCCAGTTTGAGTTTGAGAAAAGATACATCGACACAAAGGTCATGTTAAGCAGGCAAGAAGCAAGAAAGATAAAAACAATAGAGGGAAAGGACAGAAGTAGAACCTACAAGTGACACTGACCAACCACCCTCAAAATTTGCCTAGGGGAGCATAATAAATCTGGTACATGTACTACGATTTATTTACCTCACACATCAGTTTGTAGTTGAAACTTGGCTCCCAGCGGACGAGACCTGTTGAGGCAACTTCAACGTTCGATCTCTCGCTCCCAAAGTAAGCATCCTCTTCAAGTCTGCTGAACAGGAAATAGAATTTAATCGTTTTGATGAAAAATAGTTTTTTCCCCCCTTCTTTCTCCTCTAAATTTATACCTGACATAGACATGACAATTTTCTACTTGTCTGATTCTACCGTGGTGTTTTTTGGGGGG